TTTTTTTAAGAAATGAATATGAAGCATTTTTGCAAGTGTATCACTGCGTTTTTTTTCGTTTCTCCTTTTTTCTTTTTATATTATTTTTATCTTGTGGCTGCACTCTACATCCTGCGTATACTAGGAGCTTGGGACCATGGTGTGGTGGTTTATGAACTGTCGTTCGTGTCGCTTGTTGCTGCGAAATTGCATGGATAATAGGGCGAATAAGGTTGATAGCTAGTAGGAAAAGTCAGGTTAGTTTGTAATGAACTAAGATCGGTGGTGGTGATAACTTGAGGGTTTTGAGAATGGAAAGATTCCTACTGCTTTTTCTTTTCTGTTCCTCTTTCTTGCTTTTTTAATGTTTTTGAGATGGATAAGTATCAGAAGCTGCCAACTGCCGCAGGGCGCGGCTTGAGTCATTAGAAATCAGCTATACTAATATCCTCTATCCTGTGGCACTGCCGCTCATGTATACTTTCACACGGAGGGTTGCCCTTCAATTATTATTTGAAAGCGTACGTTGACGCTCCTCATTCCTTTTTTTTTTCAATATTATTACAGCAAACGTTCCTAACGCTTTTCATTTTTTAAGCCCGAGCAGCTTATTTGCCCTGAGATTGTTTGGGAAACGAACCTCCCCACATGTAAAGGCAATTTTCGCTCAAAACCTGAGGGGTAGCTGGGGTAGCTCAGCGGTTCCAGGTTTTGTTTCACTAGAAATTTCTTTGTTTATCTTTTCCAGGTAATAATGTCAATTGGGCACCTTAAATTTTTACCAAAATGTCTGGGGACCTTGGTACCACTTCTGCTCTTAGAGGCGTTTTGGATACAAATACTTTAAACTGATTGATTGTTTCATTGATGTTTTTTTTTCACTTGTTAAAAGCCAAAAAAAATCTCTCCAGACAACGAACATATTAACCGTCTTATGTGACATTGCGAATACTGTACAAAAGATTTGATGCTATGAAAGTATGCAAGGAAGCACCCGTGGCCTTTAAGCAGCTGAGTCTCGTAAGCCTTGTTGAATGTTTTGGTGCCACGCTATTAATGACGGAACGCTGCAATAACTTTCAGCGCACACAAGCGGGACCCTGCTTTCATATCTTTTCTAAACGAGAGGGTATTCGCCGAGCGAATGATAGATCGAATTACCCCGTGATTGGATGTTGGCTTTGTTTGGGGTCCCATGTGTTGGGCATTAGTCAACGACAATCTGTAGCCAATCATAATGCCTAGGTATCCAAATACATCTTGTAATATGCCAACCGCACCCACCTTCAGCGTAGCTCATTCGTAGAGGGTGGCCTCTTCCTAGATGTTATTAGAATTGCTTTCGTTTTTTGCTCCGTCATGCTCAATCCTGCTGACGAGAGTCACGACTGTATTGTTAGTTATGGGCGTGATGTTCCGTTGCTGTTTTGCTATTACCATGACCGCGACATCGTCTGCGTATCTCTGCTGTGGACCTTGCAGACGCAAGACATCATATATACCATACATGACATTAATCCAAGCACTTGAGGTATTTCACTGGTAATGGGGCGTTTTTTGCATCTTTTGTTTGACGTATGTAGAAGTTTTCTGCCTTTAAAGTACCTGGCCACTGTATTCATCAAATAATTTGCACTGTTGCATTCCAGCGATTATATGGTGGCAGGTGACGGAGTTAAAAGTGTTTTTTAAATCCAGTGTTACTACAATGTATACGACGACCTGTCAATGTTTCCTTTCTACAGCTGCGGCGGCTGCTGCAGTCACTACTGTCACAATATCTGTGGCACGTCTTTTCTTTTTAAATCCGAACTGGTGTTCGAATAGGAATTTGTTGATACATATGGTATATATAACATAAGTTTTAAATAAATCTTCCATCGAATTTCTGTTTTAGTTTGTTTTTATTTTTAATTTTTTCTAAAAAGGAAAACTTGAAGAAATTACCACAAATACAAAAACTACATGATTCAACAGCATATAAATAAATAAAAGGTTACACAGTATAAACAAACCAACAAACACTTGTAATGACATATTTGTAAATCATCCCCGTCTACTTTAATATCGAACTACGGACTTTACTATTTTTAGTGTCGCTCTTAAGTGTCACTTAAAGACGATCGGATATTTTTGAGACGGGCGCTGACTTACATAGTTTGGAAGGTGTGGTGAATGAATATATATATATAAATATGATCATTTTATTACGTTGATTGCCCTTGCAAGCGTTCATACTTCACTCCGTGGCCACCGGTCGATAGTGATTATCCACTACGGCCTTTAATGAAAAATCATCCTTAAGTATGCTACACTTAGCGGTGTTTAGAAAGACGGAGTAAGTTTAAGACAGCTCTTCGTGTTTAATTAACGAAAGTACTTTTTTCGTCCTCTAAAGAAGAATATTAAAGCACACAAAACAGAGAAAACGAGAGAAGATGTATATTCATTCCCACTTAATTTCTTGAATCTTCGTACAGACATTACATTACGAATCTTCAAATTGTGCCTCTCGGTATAATTGACAAAAATTGTTGAGGTTGTTTCGATTATCATTTTTTATTTCTCGTGAACTACATTGTGTTTGATTCCAATGTGACCTTAGGATAGTTTTGAGAGATCTAGGCATATGATTGATGAACAGCTTGGTTAATTAATTGGTCTACCCAGCGCTTGTGTTTGACGTTAATTAGTCGGCGTGACCAAGATGTGATTACAATCAATCACATTTCCAATGAACGAACGATCTCAATGATGTTCTGATGGTGGACATCATAACCGTCCCAAACTTTTCAACAACGGTGAGAACTTATCTTGGAAGTAGGAAGTAGTCGTAGCCACACTTATTTGTACTTTAACACAAAGTAATTTTTTTGGGAAGGAAAAATTATTGTTTGGGGAGCCCTATATATATTGCCCCTTATGGAAAAAAAACTAAAAAGCTTGCTGTTACCTTTTTTTCTTAAAACAAATCGAAATTTTTTTTTTAAAAGCAATAACGAGCAGAATGCAAAGCAAGTAGATTGTCGACAAAGAAACGTTACAACGCTAATAAACTGTCACAATCTTTTTTATAATTAAGTAATTACTACCTATTATATTTTATTCAAAAATATAATCAAAACAAACTTGTGCCTTTCCATCGATCGCTAAAAATATTCCAATTATTGTACGCATCATAGTTTAAAAAAATATTTTATTTTGTTTTATATTAACATTGCATTGTATATATATATATATATATTGTACATGTATTGTATATAATTGTATAAAATACGAAACAACGAACACAGTTTCGGAGAACCCGTAGCATACATACATTTACAGTAGATACGTTTTATAGCTTTTCATTGAATTATTATTATATTCATAATCAAGAGAACGAACAAATGTAATTAAAATGCAAAAGACTTATGTCCTTTATGTACTTATTTAAATTTAAGTTAATATCTTATATTATTAAAATAAATACATGCGTATAATAGCAACTTGCAACTGCTTTCATTTAGTAATCGACCGTCAAATTCCAGATTTAATAGAAGGTAAGTGACTCTATACATTGTTTATATTGTTGAGTAAAATCTAAGCGTAGTCACGTCCGCTTTCCAATTTTCTCATCTGAAATAATAAAAAAATATATATATGTTGGACGAATTCATTTTCACCCGAAATATAGTGATATATATTAGTTCGGGGAAAAAGAAATCCATTATTTTTTCGGTAGATGGCTGCACTGATAGATTTCTCGTAAAGTATCGATCAAACAATTTCAGATTTATGCTCGTTGGAAAGGTGACATTTCCCAGTAAACAAAATTCTTTTGCTGTTTTTTGTTTGATGCATTCAGTTGTGAGTTACAGCGTGTTAAAAATGGAAGTGAACAAAAAGAAAATTCGGTACATTTTACAGTTTTTCTTTGACAAAGGCGAAAATGCAAGCCAGGCGGCTAAAATTGTGAATGGTGTTTATGGTTCCGATACTGTAACAGCCAATTATGTGCAATTTTTGTTTCGTAGATTCCGTTCAGGAATTTTCGATGTTAAAGATGCACCTCGCACAGGTAGGCCGGTCGTCGAAAATGTCGATAAAATCGGAGAAATGATCGAAGTTGACCGGCATGTTAGCAGTCGTAACATCGCCCATGAGATAAAAATAGATCATAATACAGTTTTAAACCATTTACACAAAGCTGGATTCAAAAAGAAGCTCGATGTTTGGGTGCCACACCAATTAACAGAAAAAAACATGACGGATCGAATTTCCATCTGCGAAGCCTATGCCAAACGGAATGAGATAGACCCATTTCTTAAACGAGATGAGAAATGGATCACATACGATAACCCTGTGCGAAAACGATCGTGGTCAAAGAGCGGTGAAGCACCTCAAACGGTGGTCAAACCAGGACTAACGGCCAGGAAAGTTTTGCTATGCATTTGGTGGGACTGGAAGGGGATTATTTATTATGAGTTGCTTCCATATGGCCAAACGCTAAATTCTGATCTCTACTGTCAACAACTGGACCGTTTGAAGATAGCGATTGACCAGAAACGGCCAGAATTGGCCAACAGGAGAGGTGTCGTGTTCCACCAGGACAACGCTAGGCCACATACATCTACAGTGACTCGCCAGAAACTTCGGGAGCTTGGTTGGGAAGTTTTAATGCATCCGCCATACAGTCCGGACTTGGCACCAAGCGATTATCATCTTTGCATGTTAAATAAAGTCCTGAAGTTCATATAAAAATAATGGATTTCTTTTTCCCCCAAATTAATATTATATGGGCGTATGCGTTTACATTTAATGTTATGAAGATAGATAGCATCTTGGACTCAATGTTAAACTCAGTGTGTTATCAAAGCCTTTAAAATAGTCAATTTTCATTGAAATGCTATGTGTTATGGTTTTTATGATGCGATTTGCATTATCAATTCAGAGCACAGAACGGAGGATCAAATACCAAATAACGATTATCTGAAAAAGAATTTTCTGCAACGAAGACTGCTATTGAATTTGTCGGCTGCTTGTTGTGCTGCATTTTGTCTCGTCTTGTCGAGTACTTCTAATTTTTTCGACAGAACATTTTACACATTAGACCACCGCTCATAGGGGAAGAGTCGCTGTCCGTTTAATTACATTCCAGAGAAAATTTTTCATTGTTAAATTTTTCAAATGCTTGTTAAGGAGACCTTGCCAGAGGCTTGCTGATATAAAATAACCTTAAAGAAATGAACGACCCCGTTTTTTGTCTCGTATATATTGCGGAATGAAACGATTTCTGAGAAAACTTCCAATTAGTAGTATAACATGACTTAGTAATAATGATGACATACAATCACGAATAACACGGAGACACACAAAATCGAGGCTAAGCTGTATAATTTTGCATGTGTTTGCAATGATCAATATATCATAAGTACATCAATATGTTTATTTTGTGAAGTTGTTATGCTGTTTCTCATTATTTATCGATATATTTCGACAATATGATGTTATCTTGCCTAATCAAATTTCAACTAGTTCTTATTTCGCGTTTCCTTCTCACGAGCATATTTAGTTGGACGTGAATGGTGCTTGCGGGCTTAATTTTAGAAAATTTTAAATAGAACTAATCTAGTAAAGTGACAAACACTAGATGTGACTTTATTAATGAATCCGAAATCTGTGATTATTGCGGAAAGCTTCATCCTAATATTAATAAACATATGCAATGCGAGCCTTCAAATGGTTGACTTTCATAAGATCGTTAAGGGCTTGCAATTGCTATACTGTTATTCGCGATTTTCATATATTCTTTTATCTGACGTTATGCCGCAAATTTGATCGTAGTTTTTGAAGACTAATCTTATGAAAATCTGCCATTTGTTCTTGAAACAATAAATGCATGCTTTCCAATAACGTATGAAAATCGTTCAAAATTCAATTTAGAGATCTAGTCATCGTTGCAAATATATTATCAAAAAATTTTGAAAGGGATATACATTCGGTCCAAATGCTTTCCCATAAGTATGAAGGATAAAGAAATATATAGTAGCTACACGCCGTTAGGATGAAAAGAGTTTATCGATTACGCGTCTTCTTCAATCATGAACGCTGTCACGTGATACTGGTCGGCTATTTTCAAGATAAGATCGATGAATTGCTCTTACTATCTCGATGCGACGGTCAACCGAAGAATTAAAGACGCACAACCTTTTTTGCAGATAATCATATTTTTCAGATAAAACATGTTAAGACTCGTAAGAACTTCTATAATACCAATGTGTAAGGTACATTTTAATGCATATGCAGCAACCCTCACCTCACGCTCATCGGCATGTGTCCCGTATTTATCCGATACTTCACTAACCTTAGCAGCTGGTTTTTCAAGAATTTGAGTATAAATTAAAGCAGCGGCGATGCCACCCAAAACTGGACCAACCCAATAGACCCAATGCGAATCCCAGTTGTTGGTCGCAAAAGCAGTACCTACAGTGCGAGCAGGATTCATGCTAGCTCCAGTATAACGTATTGTGCCCAAATGACCCAAAGTAACGGCCATACCGATAGCCAGCGGAGCGATGTAGCGCGAATCTAAATATTTAGGGAGTATTTCCATTGAGACCTATGTGATAAAAGGTAATTCTCGACTGAACCTGGTTTATTGGCATCGCAAGCTCCGAAAACTGTTAAAACCAAAACCAAACCAAGGAAAAATTCAATTCCCACGCCTTGCAATTCTGTTATATTCGGGGCCAGACTTGTATGACCCAAACCATTATAGTAGACCTCATCGATGAGTGTCTGTTGAAATAAAAAGCAAAATGTAAGCAATTTCTGGTAAATACATTTAATATTATTTAAGATGAATACCCTAATGGCGGCAGTACCCGCTATTGACCCTAGGCACTGAAATATTATGTACAAGATTGCTCGCAATAAACTGACTCGACCAGCCACCAGCATACCCAGGGTCACAGCAGGATTGACGTGCCCTCCACTTAAGTGCCCGACAACCTAAGGAAAAAAACGGAATAAAAAAGAAAATTTAATAAATTCAGTCAAATAACGATAGCAACCATACATAATTCTACATAACTCAACTAACTTGGATAATCCAAACCTCTAGAATGTAAAGAGCAAAGGGACAAGGTGCAATAAAATTATTCTCATGTAAATAAACGGCTTTGCGTATTAAGAAACATATTGTATTGATTGCAAGTCGGATATGCTGCGTAATCGAAATAACGATTACAATTTGTGTTCCGGCAAAGAAATCATTCGCGGCAAATCACGCTTGGAGAAAAGTTATCTTTTTCCTTTTGAAGATAGTGTTCTTTAGGGCCCTGTTTGTTAAAACGGTCATAAGGTTACTTCTTATATTTGTTCGTCATTGTTTCCCGTCACCTTGTATCGAATTTCACATTGTGGAGCAAAAGTGGCAGCAAAAGAATTTAAGAAATAAATAAATATTAAAATATTGCAGTTGAACTATCGATAAGTTAACTCAATAAAATATATTTAAACACTATTCTAATGTTTTCGCAATCCTTTAGCAGCTGCATGATGCGCCTGGGAATTTATTATCTGGTTAAATTATTTATCCGGAATGAGTTGGATTTAGGATTTACGTAACACTGCCTTCTTCTTAATCTTGTCCGTCCTTAAAAAGGTCATTTCTAAAAACTATCGGTTTGTTTACGTGTGCTACCTTACTTGCAGCTTCGCCTTTCTGAGCTTCTGGATGCGATAGACTCTACGATCCTTCCCAGTTAGATTTTAAATTTGCTGATTATCTATCACTTTGGGATGGCTGGATACAGTTGCACCATGTCTCCGTCAACAAAGTTCGCTTTCCGATCATTTCCGGTTCTCAACTTCTCATTTGCGTTCTGATTTCCGTGTGTAAAACGTTTTGGTCACCCTTGGTCCTTTAGCTTATATCTCACTGCTTTTGATTTACCACTTTCCTCACAGCTATGCATCCATGCTGCTACTCCATAGTTTTTACAACGCCGAAGTGCTCTCAGTTTGAACCTTTACGACGCTTTTCTATGATTTCTTTGGACTTGACTCTTGGAATCACCAACAACCTTTTTGTGCGTGAACCTTTTTTACTGTACCATATCCTGCATAGACACCCGTCTTCGAAAACTAGGCTCAACACGTTCATCTTTTTTAGCGGCATTTATTAACTTGTTAACATGTTTCTGCCTACCGCAGTCATCGTCATCGTCATTTACTCAATTTATCTCCTTATATGTGGAGTTTTTGCTGTACGCCTGTTTTACTATTGATGGGCAACCTTAAGTGCGAGTCATTCGTCCGAAATTTACATTCACGAGCAATGTGCCCAACTTTGTAGCAATTTTAGTATTTGCGCATGGTTGCTTTTGGTCTTTTGCTCTTATTCTGCCTCCTCGGACATTCTTCACCTAGCACGTTGGAGGTGTCATCAATAATGGTGGCTTGAACCTTAGAAACACTGTCTCCTACACCAAGTTGCTGTTTAGCCTTTTAAAGCGTCGACGTCATTTCGTAAGGTTGCAAACGTTTCACCCATTTTTTCTTCTAAGGCTTCCACATTCGCAGCAATTTGACTTATTACTTTACTAACTTCTTTTTCCAGTGCATTCAGTCTGGCATCAAGCTGGTTTAGCCCTTCGTCAACCTTCCTTTCTAGGGCAGCAATTTTGCCCTCAATTTGCTGATACACCTCGTGTTTTAGGATGTCTTGATTTTCCTGAATTTTTCCCGACCTTTTCCGTCGTCCCCTCAATTTTTGATTCTATTTCTTGTTGTACTGTAGCATTTGTTGTTGCATTTGTTGCATAAACTGCTTTTATATACTTGCGCCATCTTCGCCTCTGCCGCAGCTGCATTTTATTTTCCTCCCAAGTTGTCGTTTTTCAGTTCTGTTTGCTCTTGTTCTGCAATTTCTTGTATGGTTGCATAGCTTTGCTGCATTCAGCGTAGCCTCAACGTGCGTACGTGCTTCCCGCCTCTCATCGGTTGTACAAGTATCTTCTTCTACATTACTGCCCGTCGGATAGACTTCATAAGAATCGCCGTAGAATTCAAATGCGCTTTTCTAAGATAGGACTCGTACCACTAATCAAAATCCTTTTTTTTACGATTATATTCCTTAAGAGTAAAATTATTTACAATTTATTTTTTACAATACTTTTTCTACTCATTCTGCTTTCCGCAAATATTCACATTTTTACGAGTTTATTACTATTACCTAATTTCATGGCTTCGTTTTTAATAATGAATTTCTACTCGATTGCACTGTAGATAATTATGGTTCTAGATAATTATGGAATCCGTTAACCTGCTTTCCCGGTACTCGTTTTCCTTGGCTGGCAGCTGCAAGACGCGCCTGCGAATATGCACTTGGTTTTTCCCTCTCTAGGGACTTTATTATTTGGGAAAATTAATTATCCGTAATGTGCTGGATTTAGAATTTCCGTAACAATATCTTCATTTAAGGAGTGTACCAAATAGTTTTAAACATTCGGTCTTGTTTCCTTTATGATAACTAAGCATAAAATCTCAAAAAAGTGAAAAAAAAACAAAATTTAATCAATTGTAACTTTGTGCCGGCATAGGCTATGTTTTCCATTTTAGATCGTAAGGGGTAGAATGTTTCGTAAAGTAAATGTGAAAAATTTCAACCCTCTAACTTTTATAATTTCCAGATAACGGGTAAAAATCAGAAAATTTTTGTTAAAGAAAACGTAGTTTACGCTTCACTGCGCGCTTCTGCTCCGACCGATTTGGCCAATTTTTAATGCCAACCTGTGTGCAGAAGCTTCCAATGTTTCTACCAAAGTCCATATCTTCATTTTTGCGACCAGGAGAGTGCCAACAACACACACCAAATAGGCACCCATACACACAGACGGACAGACATGGCTAATAAAACAGCAAACAGACAAAAAGATCTTGCTTAGTATCTCTTATAACATAGGTTTGACTAACACGCCCTGCACCAGTATGATGGCATTGTAATATAATTTTCATCGATGTAACATTAAGAAGAAGAAAAATCCTTGTTTTTTCTTGTATTGTTGAATTGATGGGTAGAAGAGAAGAAGTGTTGCCTTTTCCTTACACTAAAAATTGTTTGTAAAAGAATCTATATTGCACTCTGCGATAGACTGACCAATCGCCAAAATACTTTCCATTACTTTGATCACAAATTCTGGGTCTGCTAAATGGTCGCTGAACTTGCTAAAATTAGCCGTACAGAATTTAAAATTTTTAGTGAACTCAGCCAGAATATAGGCCAGACACACATAACTTGTGACTTCATTTCAATTAAAAAAAAAAAAAAAATATGAATAAGTATATAAAAAGAGAATACTTGAAAGTGGATGTGATCGTGTTCTAAAAGAGCTCGAGCGAAAGTCAGCAACTTTACATTGTAAAATTAAAAACAGTACACCTTGATAGTTAATTAATGCAATTAAGGCAATGCGGGCGTTTAAGATTAAGTGTAATAATATCATAAAATAATTCGCTCGGACTGTTAGTGCACTAAAACGGCTATAAATCTCAATATCGTATAAGCAAATACTGGTAACTTTAATGAGCATTTATGTAAAGCTTTAAACTAATTACAGTCTTACGAAATGTGCTTATGTAGATAAAAAGATTAATTAATGCAAAAGGGTTTAAAAAAATAATCGAAGACATCAGCATTCATTTACAAAAAATAATAAAATTACTTGAAACAACTAAAGAGGCATCAGGGGAGCATTTTGAAGCAATTGGTTTAAGCAAATGTGCGTCTAATTCTTTATTTATTCGTTCAAAGCACCTTTTGCGCTATCATATGGGTGGATCCAAGTGCCATGTTCGGTAATGGTGCTTTGCATGACGTCCTGATAGCCTGAGATCATTGCTTCACAGATATGGTAAAGCCGAAAAACTCGTTTTTGTACACTTGCAAAAACACGTGTATCTCTACAGCATGTTGACATGGAATCCTACATAGATGTCAGATGTGGTACAATAGTACCAACGCACTAAGAAAGCAGTTTGATGATTTCGTAGCACCCAAGAGGTTTAAATGTAAAGTTATCCTTATTTGTTTTTGTAATACTGTTATGTCCCTGTATTACAAGCGATGATATATAGTATGTTAACGTAATGCCTTGTGAACGTCTATATCAGAACCTTTCGCAAGCGGAATGATCAGGATCGTCCCAAAAATAACCTCGAAACAGGTCAAAATCTCTTCTCTTATATATAATAACTATCGATACTCCAAGTTCGAATAATCTACTAAAATCTGCGTTGATAGGAGGAAGTAATGTCTGCTGATAACAGCTTTGAGGATAGGACGTTACAAATTAGAAATGCAAGCATTTCATGCGCGAGTTTTTCCATATGGAGCCGAGTGTACTAAAGCCTCACGAAATCGTGATTTCTAATAAATAACGTCAATTTTTCGAAGCAATTGCACTAATTATTGGACTTAGTATTGCTTAAGGTTGGTTTCACTTGCTTGGAAGAAGTTGTAACGCATAACATAAACTTCGTCGCTTCCAATGGTACCATCAAAGATAATCAGCCCTGTCGTTGATGTTATTGGTTCGCATACTGTTTATTAGGGTTATTTAAGCTTTAGATATTGTGGCGCATCGACTGTTCATCGTTCATAAGCACATATCCCTGATGTCCTTTGAATTAATCAGGAAAAGTAAAGTTTCTCGCAGATTTAAATTTTTTTGGTGCGTTCTGTAAGCTTTAATGTAATAATTTGCACATTTGCGTAGAGTTTAAAGACGGTGCTTTCAAAGGAAGACCTCACAGGTTTATTCTATACCCTACAGTTCTAATAACAATAAAAATATACTTTGCCTGGTTACAGGCCGGATCGTATTTTAAGGCAATGTTAATATTTATGGTGGTGAGGGAAAAGATCGGTGATTCGGAGATTGATTAGCAAAATGGCAATGGACAGAGAAATTTTCGAAAGGTGTTAAAAGAATATGGTAAGAAAATCATCTTGAACTCTTGAAGGGTCTTTTGAACCTACTGTGCTAGACTGCTATCATAATAGAAAATGGTCTAAGGGCATTTTATGCTTAAATTGCTTTAATAACAATTAAACCATCAATGTTGACATCTTACGCTCTTTATTTCTCGCTTTTTCTACTTCAAACAAGTTAGAATAGGTTCTTGGACAATCTTGCGTGCCAATGGGTCTCATCTTCACAGGGAATGTTCTCTATGCCTGTAAATAAGATAACAGGCAAGAGAAACTGTGATGTAAGGAGGAACAAAAATTAACAGTAATGTTTCCGTTCTGAATAGGTAGGGGAACATTAGCTTCGAGGGATTATAGGGTCCTGCGGCATACGAACAACGGATGATGCTGCAACAGATCTCTTTCATTTCTGTAGGTCACCTGATTCCCCTAACATTTTAATGAATTGAGTTTTAATTATAGGCTGATCACAGACAATAATAATTCCAATAGAAGTGGTTTTGCTTCAATAGACCAGCCTACCCCTCGATGCCAGCAGCTTCACTTTATTCCACGCGCTTTGATATGGATTTACGGAAACAAGCAGTTCAGAAGCTTACATGAAACTAAATAAAATACGAAACCAAAGAATAGCGTTTAATGTAGAATAAATTTTGCCCAAATATATACCGGAAAGTGTACATACTTGCTATAGCCTCAGTTGTGTATTATGGAGAATGTATGCATAAATTTGTTGTCAACATCTGATAGCATGTCAATCATTATTTATAAATAATTATGTGAATACCATGTACTACTTACTGTGATTGCCATAAAGACTCCTAAGCCAAATGCCAAAGCCTTAAATGTACCATCCTCGGGTTGCGTGCATGCTCCACAAGCGAAAAAATTTAATATCAAATTTCCTAATTAATAGAAAGAAAATTCCGCACATAAATATATAAATGTTCCATTACGTGCGCTCCCTCTCCCTCTCTATTCGCCGTCCAGGTGTAAGCAAATGCGTACGCATACGTAAACGAATGTTAACAGAAACTTACCAAGAAATTCGCCAACCAAAGATTGCCATAAACGATAATCTTTTGATTTCAATTCATTTATACCAAGCGAGTATTCAAATTTTCCGGCCATAATGTCTACAATTGAAGAGAAATTTTTGATACTACATTAAGTTCGCTACTTTATTGTTTACAAGAAGAAATGCAAAGAAATGCATTCACTTCAAGACGCATCTTGTGTCCCACCGCATATAGGACATATTTTTTTTTACGTTTTTTTTTCACAAAAAAGAACGTGTATGCCACGTTTCAATTTCCTAACCAGTTCTTGGAAGCACTATGGAGTTTGGAAATGGATGTAAGATAAGGAATGGAATCTCTACTTAATTGGTATTGTCAAAGGCGACTTATTTCTATCTTTTTAAGAGTCTTATGTTGTATAAGAGCTTTGATCTAGATTGTTTTTCGATTTTTGCTGTACTTGAAAAAATCCAAGCAAGAATGTTTTGCGCGCTGAGAGGATATGAAAATACATGGAATGGTTGCGCTTAATAACCGGCTCAGTTTTATAAGTTGCTTTTGGTGTCGCTCACGTAGTTAATTCTTGTGAATGGAGGTTGGCAGAAGCGCTATACAGTCGTTAATGTTTCTCGCAACTAGCCATGTGGTTTTTTACGCTTTCGTTGATAGGTTGTGCTCATTTTTCTTTTCTGTCAATATACATATACTACAAAGCGCGATAGCTTACTTTGGTACTACTTAAAGGGTAGTATTTTCGCATGAAGAAATCAAAGTAAAAGAAATATTCACTGATAAAGTAACGGGGCTCTTAGGAAAGGCCACAAGGATTTGTTTCCAACCTTGCTATTTGCATCAAATTCCAATTTTCAGTCTCAAATTTTAGGATCTTAAACGCATATACACGTCTATGCATATACATGTATATATACACATATGTTTACATATATATGTCGAAGACCTTGGTTTCCCGAGGTCAAAGCCAGCTGTTGGTTCATCCTTCAAATGAAAAATTAAAGAAAAAATCGCCTACAGAATCGGTCAAGAAGCATGCTTCAGAATCTCACATGGGGAGTAGTCCTTGTCTAACAATTAAAAAGTAAGAATTAAATGTCTTGGTAGAATGAAAATGTTGAGGGTCAATTTGAATTGCTTGGGTAGTCCTTACTAAAAGCATTTACGCTTTATCCCAAAGAAAAAAAAGGGGCTCAGGCTTATGTTACCCCGTTAGCATCCCTGAGCATTGGAAATTGACGGCAGATAAAGTACGCTTAGAAGAGAAATCTGCCGCATCTAGAATGATGTGAATTCCGAAACAAGAAACAATTAACACATGCAAGGGCAGTACAAGAGAAACATAGAAAATTAAGAAGAAGAAGTTTTTAATATCTGAAAGAAGAACTATCTTTTTAATGTACCAAGCCTCCATTCCATTAAAAGTGCAAATAAGTTTAAAATTAGAGCTGATCAGTCCAATAGCCACGCTCAGAAGAGCACAAAACTACTATTTCTATG